TAATTAAAAGTATGACATTTAATATTATAAATATGTATATTTTGTTTAAATTGTATTACGGGTCGACCCATCTAATGGTTAGAATGCCTTACACACTAATTTGAGTTAAGATAAAAAACGAATTTGGGTTAAAGATAAAAGTTGTGTCTTTGCTTTAGTTAGATCTAAAAAGTTTTGAATATTCATTAAATTAACTTCCAAAAAGTTGTATCCAACCCTTTTTTCTATCTCATCAAAATATTTTCACCAAAATTGACTAACCCTAAAAACTCTTCCAACTTCTCGTTGTCGCCTCTCTTCTGCAAGCGCAGGCCTGTCGCGGTTCACTGGGGGGGCCGACGAGCCGGCTTTTTTGACATCCCCTGCAGCGTGACGCGACGTTTCTTCGTTCTCGGTGGTCATGGTGATGCTTTGGCGGGGTCCCAACGTCGGTTTGGTGGGCTTGAGGTCGTCATCATTGTCCGCTGCCATGGGGCGAATGGCGAATGAGTTCGTCGCTATGTAAACTCTCCAGGCCATCCCGTCTCCTAGGGAGGGTGGGCCGATAGTGGGGGCTTTGGGTTGCCGCCATTTGTTTTGTAGTAATTTGTGGAATAGATGATAACCGAGCTACCCCGAGTCGTTCTCTATGAAAGGCTTATTGGAGCTTTGTTCGCTAATTAATTGCACAAAACACACAAAGATAAAATAAATTTATAAACATTCTATTCAAAATGGATGAGAGATTATAAGCTAAATTAACTAAGAAATAGACAATAATTGATCAAGCGTCTTAGCTTACTTGAAACCAAATAAAAATAATGGAAGCAAGAGAAACGAACCACACCTAATGCACTAAGAGTTAAAGTCAAAAGTTCTATTATGAAATTCCTGAGCTCTATGCCAAAGTTCGACTTTTCTTGTAAAGATTCGAACTTTAACTAACCCAAACAGAATAGACGAGCTCACAAAAATTAAGAAAGCAAAATAAGCTAAAACGAACAAAGTACGCCAAAAATTGAACGAGCCCTAAGTTACATCTACAACCGAGATAGTAATATAGTGCAAAAACTGAGATAGCAAGCCTCAAGACTTTAGGTCCCTAATGCACTCGAGCGAAAAAGACGAAGAAAAATTGAAACTTGCATAAGAAAAACATTACCGGAAAATATCGTCGGAAAATGATATAAGTCTCCAAAACATAAGCTAGAGAGAGAACTAAAAATGAGAGCATAATTTCTAAAGTAGAAAAATGACAAAATGAAATCTCAGGTTTCCAAACACAAAGGACTGAATGTATTTATAGTCTCCTAAAAAACACACACAGAAAAATGCACATTAATAGAAAAACTCGCCCAAAATGGTGTTGGGCGAGTGTTGGTGGCCGCAGGGTGGAAAGAGGCTCTAGTCGCCTGGCGAGCGGCTCTCCCAATCTCGTGTTGGGCGCGTGCAATGGAGCAGGCGAGTGCGGATCTGCCCGGCGGGTGCACAGGCGAGTGTGAGGGCGCGGGCAAGGCAGATCCGCCCGACGAGTGCACGGGTGAGTGTGAGAGCGCGGGCGAGTGTGATCCGTCTAGCGAGTGCTGGGCGAGTGTGAGGGTGAGGGGGAGTATGATCCGCCCGGCGGGTGCACAGGCCAACCTTTGCAACGACATGTTATCCTCGGCAATCTCTTAAACCATTCGGGCAACGGTGGAGATTTCACGGGTCTCTTTAATTGTTCTCGAAATCCAAGGGAACTTGTGCTAAATGCTCGAAAATGGACGGAGATGATATGTTAGGTTTTCAACTTGCATGTTCGGGACATGGCTCAGTTCCTCTTCTTTCAAACTCGAACAAACGGACTGATAAATCACCAAAAGACACGGGAAAGTACGCCAAACACACAAAAACACCAAACGAGAATAAAAACACACGAAACCACTGAAATAGGCCAGTTAAACAAGGAAATGAACCTAGAATTGACTCAACTACGCACGTAAAACACATAAAAAGAATCACAAAAATACAATAAACATCGGCGATGGCGGGTGATCGACTACTCCCGGCCGGTTTGGTAATGGCGTGTCCCTTCTGCTGGAACTCGCGGTGGGATTCGAGGTGTTTCTAGTAGAAGGAGGTTCTACTCGTGTGTTCGAGTTTAGTTATGCCTCGATTGCAGTTTCTAGACCTAAATTGAGTCGTGTTTCTGCTTTCCTATCGGGATCATTTGTGCGTATATGGCTCAGTTGTTTGCTGCGGTTGTGGAGGGCATTTTATTGTTCCATTATTTTGTTTGTCTTAGGTTTTCTACTTGTGTGTCGTTTGTAGTTGTTTGTTGTTGTTTTTCTGTTTGGTTGTATTTTTTCCCTGTTGTTGGTCTATTTATTCTCCTGTTGTATAGCGTGTACTCTCCCTTATGAGGAGGTTGTATTCTCCCGTTAAGCGGTCTCTAGTTGTGTTGTATTGCAGGTGAGTTTAGACTAGTTGCTTGTTGGCTACCTCTGAGTCGTCCTCCCACTAGATTCAGCTGGTTTGGCTTGTTGGCTATTTATAGCTATTATCTAATTGTAATTATATGTTTTTTTATTTTATATAATCTTTGTTTTCAAAAAAAAAAAAAAAAACTTCGAAAAAGTTTGTAATTTCAACCTATGTTTTCGAATTAATAGGCAACAACTTGTAACTTTTCATTTAACAGATCAATCTTAAAAGTCATCATTATAGTAAAGAATGTGCTTATTTTCACTTATCCTCCCTATATATAATTCTCGAATGCGCTGAGCCTACGTGGCTGCTTCTAGTGATTCGGAATCCTATTTGGCGAAGAATCATGCTTCGTAATTAGGTTTGGATAAATAATATTGATATATTAATAATTAATAATTTAGGTTCGGGTATTCCATAAATATTATTTAGCTAACTCAAGTATTTTAATATCACTTTTACTAATATAATCTTTTAATTCTTTGTAATTTTACATAGTGAGGCACTGAGTGACTAATATATCCCTGAATTTTGATTCCTTCAATAAGCTATTGAATTATAAATGTATTTTAAAAGTTGATAATTTTTGTATTTCTTATCAGTTTTACATATATAATATATCAAATTAATCATCTTTTGATGATCTTCGATTTGACATTCATATTGTATATATGAATAAATAAATTATATTTATCTTTATAATAATAAAAAATAATAATATTTATTAAAACTAATTACAAAAATAAAGTTATTTCTCAATTGATATATTTATATGTAATGTAGTTATATATTGTAAAGGTAAAAAAATTAGTATAATATAACACAAGTAAGTTGCACAAATAAAAAGTGTCATAATAAATATATAATAATATATATATTCTTGTAAAAGGTATTTAAATTTTCAAACTACTTTTTTTCATTAATTTTAGATTTTAAGAAAAAAATTAGCAAACACCCGTGTAATACACGGATATTGTACTAGTTGTTAAATATACCTACACGATTTTATTTCTAATTTCATACTCCAAATATATCTTTTTTTTTTTAAATATATATTAATGCAAGTGTGAGCGTCCTGGTCCGGTTTGAACGGATCGATCTTGGTCCTCGTCGGTAGAACGCCAGAAACTTGCAAATAACTCTCACACCGGGGGTTGTGTCCGATGAATAGCCTCCGATGCTTAAGTCAGTATGTGTATGAATATACTGAAGTGAAGAAAATGAATAGAATGTGTTAAGGGAGAAAGGCTCACCCCCTTTATATAGGGGTGAGATACCTGCCCTAATAGCTGCCCGGATAAGGATGAGCTGGCTGCCCAAGCTGCCCGTTCGTACTCTGACACGCCGCACACATGTCAGAGGTGGCGCAGGGCGTTGGGAGCTGTCAGAGGTGGTTATCGATATCCACCAATGCATTCTCGACACGTGTCCCCCTGCACATGAGGTAAATATTCTCCTGAGATTCGGTTAGAGGCTCCCACACGCGCCTGTGACTAGGCCGACTGTAGGACCCTCGAGGCGATCGACCTGATGAGGTCGAATATGTCGCTCGGTCATTTATCTGGTCGAGCGATGGATTGGTCGACTACCTGCCTGATCGATTATATGAATGTTCGATATTCCCGCCTTCTGGCTTGGCTTCCTCTTGGTTTGACCTTCTCGACCGGCCAAGCAGACCGGTTTAGCCTTGTGTATATGATATCTCATATCATATATTCATATTCAAAATCTAATTCAACTTAAATCAAGTTACTATCTATAATATTATTCATAAAATTAAATAATACAATCAATCATTCTTAGTTCTTACACATTACATCAATGTTAATAACTATTCATCCACAAACATAATTATAACTATCACTTTACATAATATCTCTTACTTTTACATCAAATCAACTTTCATTATTTTATTTTAAAATAGTACTTAAACTCAAAATCCTATTAACAACTAACCATACTATTTTTTTTTAAAATTAACTATGGTTAACCGAAAAAACAAAAAACTCATTTTGAACGGATTAAATTTGTAAACAAGCACGCGCTAAAAAAAATACCAAATATGAAGCATTCAAGTTACAGAAATAATGTTATCCTGCAAACTATATCATAGGCTAGAATTACCCTTTCATCCATTGACCAGCTTCCCCTATGAAAACAATGTATTTGCCAAAAAAAATTTGCAGAATGTGTGCACAAGCTCAAACAACACATCACAGTCCAAGAATTTATTAAGTTATTCCCCACATGATGTTCAAAACACACCCTATAAAAAAAGCTTACATCTGTTAGTGATCACTCGAACGATAAAACCTATACTCATATCACCCTCGAAGATCATCCTATTATTAAAAAAACTTCTCAGCCTTTGCGCACTCACGATACGCTCAACTCTTCACAACCATTACACATTTCGAAAGCAATCTGGGCTTTCGATGCAAGGGCCGCGTATTACAAGCATTTTCACTATTATATATGTCAGCCAAAAGCCAAACAAAACCTTAGGGCTTAGGTGAACGCGTAGAGTCGAATAATTAATTAATGCAGCCACGTTTTCAAGGTGCTGCAACGTTTTCCTTTGCGAGTGGAGCAATTTCCTCACCTTCAATGCCGGGCTCACTACCGGCAGCACCCAGGCTTAGAAGCAGCTTTTCCCATTTCTTCGCGGGTCCCTGTTCAAAATAGATGATAAGTTTTCATATTCGCTCGATTTTTAAAAAATAACAATAAATAAAATAAAAAGTTGTAATTGATCGATTATGTTGATGATGAGTACCTTCCAAGAAAGGTCCTGTGACATGCAGTTTTGGATCATTTCTTTGAAGGTGAGTGTACCATACACGGCTAGAGCTCTACCGACAGTTTTTACTATTTTTAGCACGTCCGGAGGGTCAATTGTGGCACACTGCATAATGAAAAAAACCATAGAGCAAAACATTTGGCATTTTCGAAAGAGAAAAAGAAAGAAAGAAAACAGAGGTTAAACATACCTCGACATTAAAATCACCCATATGGAACCCAGTGTATCCTTCTTTCACGGTGTCGACAAGGCCACCAGTCGAGGCACAAATGGGTATCTGAGCCGCCAGTTCCCATATTAGAGAAACGCATTTATTTTCTTCGACATTATTAGAAGCATACGACTACTGAAAGAGAAAAATATTGAATGCTCTTTGCTCACCGTTCCATATCGCATGGCATGTAACTGAATGAGGCCACAAGGCTCAAATCTACTTGGGACCAACATAAAATCAGCACCAGCAGTTATCATGTGGGCTAAAGGCACGTTGAATTTGGCGATCCCTATAGCTTTACCAGGGTATAACACCTCAAGCTGCTCAATCTGCTGCTCAAACCTCTTCTTACCGGTTCCCTTGATATGATACAGAGTGCACGGCAAATCAATAGAAGTTCGATTATTTATTTTATTTTTTATTTCAAGAATTAAANAAAAAAAGAGTAAAGCTTTTACAAGAATGATAATCTGGACATTCATCCCGATAAAATTCGAAATAGCCTCAACAAGAATGTCCGAGCCTTTCTGTTCCTCGAGTCTGCCAATGAAACCGATGACGGGTATGTCTCGATCGACAGGCAACCCGACTTCTGCTTGAAGAGCTTCTTTCAACAGAGGCTTAGCATCTGTAACCTGAAATTTACCCACATATATATCTGTTCATTAACTTGTTTTTTTCAACGTTAATATGGTAAGGAGGTAAAAATCTTGGTCTTACGGTGGTGATATCATAGTTACAGTTGATGTATTTATCTGTTGCTGGATTCCATTCTTGAGTATCCATGCCGTTCACAATACCCGTCACACAAGTCTTACGGAGGATATTATCCAACTCGACTCCTTTATCGACACCTGAAATGAGTTCTTGAGCATAGTAAGGGCTCACGGTAAGAACTCTATCCGATTCCAAGATTCCAGCTTTCATCCAGTTGATTTTCCTTCCCTTGACAGGCTTCTCATACCTGCATTATTAACACTATGAAATTTTAAAATTTAATTGTCATCACTTACTAACATAATGCTACCGAATTCACTTTATTCAGAAATAGATAGGAAATTTTCGCTCTTACCCATCCATGAAATCAAAGGAGCTTTTGTACTGATCAGGTAAGTTGAGTTGGTTGAAGTCTGCAAATGCAAACCTTCCCTGATAGGCAATGTTGTGGATACAGAAGGCCACCTTACAGGGAAAAAAAAAAATAAAAAGAAAAAGAGCCAGACCATTAGCAAAGTTTCGAATGTTAGACCAGAATAAACTTTGAACAACACACACGAGTAGGAACTTCGATTACTTATTTATTACCTTGGCATGCACGTAAATTCCCCTCGATTGGTATAAGGTCTTCAGGTAGCAAGGAAGCAAAGCAGTGTGCCAATCATTGGAAATGAAAACAACATCCTCGCCTAACAAGATAACAAGAGATTATGTATAGAGTGAAAAAACTCCTGATCTGAGCGTAAAGATTTTTTTTAAGCCAAATTCAGTACATACCATATGGTCCTGAGAAGTATTTGCTGCTGGTTAGGTTCAAAACTCTAGGAGCCTCCAAAGCAGCCTAAAAATATGACCCACCCAACCAAATATGTGTAACTTCACTAGATGCTGTCTGAAATTATAATTATGTTGCAAAAATCTTTTTACAGAATAGAGGTTCGTTTGAATTGTTAAGGAGAGAAAAGCCCACCTGGCAGAGTAAGCTGAACCGCAGTTGGTTGTCCGGGTAATCCGTTCCAGCATTAGGACCATAAATCTTCGATTTAGTTTTTCCCCACACCTTCATAAGAAACAAAATTATAACAACAAAATATTCAGCAAAACAAATCGCCATGTAATGTTTGTCTAAACACGTGATACCAACCCTCTCAAGAAACATCGGATGATCAACAAAAACACGGTCAACCCCACGCTTGTAGCAATGGAAGAATCCGACGGTCTCAATTTTATCTCCGACTCTTATCTACAACAGAGATTACAAATAGCACGTTCTATTGATTTTCTTCAAACATCAACAATCAAAAGTAAACACAAATAAATAAACAAACTAAAGAGATAAATAAACCTCGACATGAACACAAGTGTCCCAAGCATCTTTGTACTGATCATAACGCGGAGAAACAGTCATCACTCTGTGCCCATATGCCTAGACAAAAGATGAAGGCATTTTTAAATCGGTAATACAATATAATTACAAGGGTAAGGTCTGCGTACAACTGACCCCCGAGACCCCAACCTGTTGGGAATATACTGGGTATGTTGATGTTGATGTATGAATACAATATAATTTGAAAGCTCAGTTCGAAAATTTTATGATGCTTACAGCCATAGCCGGAGGAAGTCCCCCAACAACATCACCGAGCCCGCCCGTTTTGCTCCACGGGCCACACTCAGCCGACACAAAAACCAAGTTCATTCCAGTTCCACAAATGATCTTCCCTTGAGATCTTTTATTGTGGGTCGACTTTATCACGCTCCTCGGGTGTTTCGAGTTTGGTTTCACCCCGTTGCTTCTCATTTGAAGGTTATCTATAGATCTCAGACCAATTTGAGTTACGGGTTGTGCCCTGAGGCCAACCGGACTCGAATTGGTCTTAGAGTCCATCGAAGTTGCTCCTCCATGTATGTGGGACACGAAGTGCGAAGCTGCCACGGATGCCATACCTTAATCCCTTCACCCTAAAGAATCAAGAAAATGAAAAAAAATTAAGGATATAAACGTTAGCAAATTCGAGAAAGGCTCAAAGACTTGATCTTTCAGCTGAGACATGTTACATAAAGATGGGTTCTTTCGTAAAATACACAACAAATCAATTGTTTTCCCACGTTGAAGGTTTATGATACACTGAATATTCCCATTAAAGACACGAAAAGGTGACAAAAATCAAACAAAGAGCAAAAAAAACAA